TTGAGTGGTGATCTGCACTTACGTCCATAAAGGGCTTCGTACGGCGCGCACTGTATACTCGTATGATAGCTGTTGTTGTAGGAAAATTCAACCAGCGGTAGGTGATCATCCCAGCTACCTCCGAATTCTATCACACAAGCATGCAGCATATCCTCTAATGTCTGAATAGTCCTTTCTGTTTGTCCATTGGTTTGAGGATGATATGAAGTACTTAAATTTATCCTTGTGCCCATCGCCTTTTGTAGTGATTTCCATAATCGCGATGTAAAACGGCTATCTCTGTCTGAAATTATTGAAACAGGTACTCCATGACGCATAACGATCTCGTTGACATATAGTTGTGTGAGCCTTTCTAAGTTGAAATCTTCTCGAATAGGTAGAAAATGTGCGGATTTCGTGAGTCGATCCACAGTTACCCAAATCGAGTCGTGCCCTTTTCTGGTTCTGGGTAATTTGGTCACGAAGTCCATCGAGATATGCTCCCACATCCTTTTTGGAATTTCTGGTTGTTGTAGAAGACCGGATGGTTTCTGGTGTTCCGCCTTGATTCTCGCACAAGTCAAACATTTACTCACGTATAGGGCCACATCTTTCTTCATTCTTGGCCACCAATAGTGTTCTTTTAATCCTTTGTACATTTTATCCGTTCCTGGGTGGATTGAGTACCTTGATTGTTGTGCTTCATCCATGATTGTCGATCTCAGATGGTCGACCTTTGGAATCCATACTCTACCTTTAAAGTAGCGTATCCCATCTGATCGTACTTCAAACCTTTTCTCTACTTGATGCAGGGTCTCGTCCTTCAAATTTTCTGTCTTCAGAGCTTCTTCTTGGGCTTCGAGAATCTGAGCCTTTAAGCTTGTCTGAACCAACATTCCCATAGCTCGTGCTCTTGATGGCTTTACCCTTTCTTTCCTGCTCAGAGCATATGCTACAACGTTAGCCTTTCCTGGGTGGTACTTTATTTCACAATCGTAGTCGTTGAGTAATTCGACCCATCTCCTCTACCTCATATTCAGCATCTTCTGATCGAGAATGTGTTGAAGGCTCTTGTGGTCGGTGAAGATAGTGCATCTTGTGCCATAGAGRTAGTGTCTCCAGATTTTGAGTGCAAATACTACTGCTCCAAGTTCCAGGTCATGGGTGGTGTAATTCTTTTTATGGACTTTTAGTTGCCTCGACGCATACGCAATAACTTTGTCCTTCTGCATCAATACGCACCCCAGTCCTTGATGCGAGGCGTCGCAGTACACCACAAAGTTATCCATTCCCTCTGGTAATGCTAAAATCGGGGCATTACACAACTTGTGCTTAAGTGTCTGAAATGTTTCTTCCTGCTTCTCGCCCCAAATAAATTTCTTATCTTTCTGTGTTAAGGTCGTTAATGGTTGTGCGATCTTGGAGAAGTTTGCAATGAATCGCCTATAATAACCTGCCAAACCAAGAAATTGA